CACCCTCATCTCTCGGATTTTAACGATAATTGGTCTAAGGGGTAATCAGGGGCTCTGAATCCTTCTGTGACAATTTCAGGCTAATCCGATGAGTAGTTTTTGAGTTATAATGTATAACATGTTTTGTATCTTGCGTTGCAGCGCCAAGTTTGGCGGGCTGTAACTCTAAGACGGATAATCCAATTGCCAAATACTATACGGCATTGATTTTGCATTGAAACAAAAAATAATATGCATTTTTAAATTTTGAAATATAAACTATTTTTGATATATGAAACATCGAGTTTCCCTTCATTTGCATTTTTATGCCTTTGGGACCATTTTTTTGAATTTTTATTTACTTAAAAACATTTTTGGATCATTATTAAGTAGTGTGCAAAAAATTAGGAAGGTGTTCTTTCTATAAATGCACTTATTTTGCGTCACCGTAATGGTCTCGAATTGTGATTTCGGGAAGAGAGCCTACAAATGGCGTAGTAAAGCTGCCTAGTGACATCACTGGTTACTGAAAGTCCAATTGAAGTCATTTTTGCCTCACGTTTGCATTGTTGACTTTGCGTGACGTCATTCGTACGTCACTAGGGTCATAAGAGTTTTTCGTCAATAACTCTCGATCAAATTGAGCTAGAGAGACGGGAAAGCTACCAATGGACTCGGGAAGACCTTGCGAATCGAATGATGTGCAATATGATCTCATTCACCCAGCTTCGTGGCCTGACCCGACTGTTACCATCTCTGTGGCGGAGCTGTTTGTCCAGCGCCGCGCTGGTTGGCTTTGCCGCGGACTCGGGGCGGTCACGTGATGCCCGGGGGCTGGCTGCCGGCTGGGCCGCCCGGTCGGGGAGCCGAGCCAAATACACGGCAGTGTGCTGACCCGAGGTCAGCGACTTAAGCTGACCTCACCAGAACAAACAGTATACCATTCGACGCGCCGGAGCTAGGCAAACACAAAGATGCTAAAATCGGGGCTCTGCGACCATATGTTGCGAAGTTATCTACCAAAAACCGGACCCGTAATTTGGGTCACTTGAAATGACCTCAGGGGTCACCAATGAACCCGAGACCTTAAAATATGGTATCATTCGATGCATCTTGTAACGGCGCACATGCTCGTTTTTTCCGCAAGGTTCTAGCTCCATTAGAGGCGAAACGGCGAGCTGGGGTCGTACCGACCCCCCGGAAACCCATTTTGTATGCATTAAAATGAGGAACTTATAGAAAGAACACCTTTCTAATTTTTTGCATGTCGATTTTAAATGACAACTTTATTTTGAAGAAATAAAAATGGCAAAAATTTTGGTCCCAAGGGCCGTTATAGACAATTAAAAAAAAAAAATATTATGACTTTTTTCAATATGTGAAGCTTTTCTTTTCAATTTTAAAAAAGCTGTATTAATCTTTGATTCATCTTTAGTTCAAAGCTGTTTACCATTTGTTGCTTGCTTAGCTCGTTTTTGAGTTATAGCTCATCAAACTCGTCCTTACAACCTGAAGTTTAGAAAATATTATGCAATGTAGCTCAAAAAGTTTTCATCTGAGAAGTCTGACATTTTGACAGGTGTTTTTGGAGCCCATGATTACCCTTAGTACCAATTTTCATTCAAATCTGAGAGATGAGGGTGACGGGCCTGGTACGATCTATCGTGGAATGCCCCTGGTCGATAATTAGCCGATATTCGGCCGTGGACGGCGGCTGAGAATCCAGTCAGAGAGGAGGAGCGTCCCACATGCCCTCCCCGTCCGCTCTTGCTCTCCTGTCGACCTTTCTCTGCAGCGGCTCGTCGCAAAGGACCGCACTCCCCAGCGCCCCCTCACTTGCAGAGCGCCGCGGCCGCCCCAGATTGTATCCGCCGGTAAAGAATGGTGGTACAGAGAGGCCACTCGAGTTCCCAGCGGTGGGTGACGGCTGCAGGACGGAACTGACAGGTTACAACAGCCCAGGGACGATTTTTCGCTGATTTAACGGTAACACAGTGCCGAAAGCATGGGACGTGGTACCTAGTGTCCGTCTTTTTGTCCTATACGAATTTCCTTTGATGACCATGGAAATGAAGAATTCGAATTCTTTGTCAAATATGGTGAGGTTGGTATATTTATATTTGAATGTGCATGTGTTTTGCCGGTTAGATGAGGTGCACAGCTGCACAGTACCCCATCCAAGAGCCTTATTCCATCTGTGGTTACCACTGTGTCCATTGTCAACCCACATAACTAACCTAATAAAAAGATGGTCGATGGTCATTCAGGGGTGTCAGCTGCCTATAGCACTAGTAATCCCAAGCACCAATAATAGATTACCAACATGGATGCTCTCCTTGACCTGAGCATGTAACGCCTCATCCTTAAGCTGGTTAGCTGAGGAGGGGCATTCAACATTAATCTAACACCCCGGGTGTTCACTGTCGGTCTCCTTTCGCAACTTCAGCATGGTTTTGTCTCCCCTCGCGCATGGGATAAAACGGCCTAAGATGTGTGACACTCCTTATTGAGAGCATGTAGACTGTGGTGCGCAGCGCTCGCTAGTGTCGTAAACTACTGGATCATGGTCGGGAGGACATGCTGGACACTGCAGGGCACATGGCCGAGCGGGACCTGCTGGATCTGATCCAGCTGCTATGGCTTGTCAAACTGCTACGAACTTCTGCGCAATGAAATATTTACGGCAGTATAACCGGGTTGATGCACCTGTTGAACCAGTCTTGCGCCGAATTAGGAGTAAAATCTTATAATTTCCATAGAGCTGTTGTTTTCTTACCTTTTGCATCAGTTGTCTTGTTTATAAGCTACAACAGCAAACATATTCGGACGGCGTTGATCTTTATTGCTATACTTACAGCTTGAGTTGATTCAACTAGGGGCTAATATTCATCTCCCTCTTTTTTAAAACGGTTGACAAAGTCCACCGGAATAGGTATAAGTGGGCCAATACACTGCGTATTGCGAAGTGCATGTAGTCACGACTCACAAGCAATGACGCAAAGCCCAGACACGAGCGCGGTGCCCCTATGCAGAGCACAACAAGGATAATCTTGCATCGGATGGATGACCTGCTGGGAACAGTGCTGGACCCCATAGATATCGTCGCACCGAGCAACTGTATCTCGAAAGGTTTGCGTTGTCTGTTTGATGTCATGTACTTGAAGTTTCAAAAATGAAATGTTGGATCTTCTAAAGGACCAAAACTAATGAAATTACGCCTTAACCCTATTCCTGGCGGGCTCCGCCGGGACAAGAAACTGGCGGGGGGGGGGGGCGATTCGGCCCCCCTTCAGATCTAAAAAACTACACATCGCAGCGACAAACGGCGAACGGCGTTTGATAGGTCGTTTAAAGATCTACAACTTTTACATAAAACATTTTAAGGTCAGGTCAATATTGGGGTCACCAGAGGTCATCAACGATAAAATGTTTTGGAATTAGTTACCTATATAACTTTTAAACTAAGAAGCATAGAGACATAAAACCAATCATTTTTTGTTGCTCTCGCCGAGGCGATGCGAAATAAGTATGTGATGACCTTCACAGGTCAATTTGAAATTTGACCTGAGGTCAAGGTCAGGTCATTCATCAATGAGGTTGTGGGGTATGGTCATGCTGCATACCAAACGACGCGCCTTGACCAGGCGACAGTTTGGTACCACTTACAAGTCTTTAGCACCATCATGTCGTGATTTATTGACAGAAAAACGATTTATGACGTCACATGACCTCAGATGACCTTTGCCGGTGCCCCTGTCAATAAGCGGCACCAGGATCATCACCGATGAGATAATCTTTTATAATACTGAAAGAATTGGGTGGTTTTGACTCGTTTACACGAAGCAGGAGGCGTTTCAATATTTTCCCATAGGCTTGCAATGTAAAGGTCACGAGTCTGGCCTGACCTCAGGTCACAGATATGAAAATTCTGAGATATACAAATTGCACATACTGGTACCCTAACTAAAGCCTGAAGAGAAGAAATTGATCGGTCAAAAACTCTAGCTCTGGCGTGATTGCAAACTTTTCTGAGGTAGGGTCACCAAACTGCCTCTGGTGACCTGACCTGAGGTCAGATCAACTCAAAATTTTCAGAAATGTTGCGTAAAAGCCTTTTAGGAAAAGTCAGAAAATTTGAGCTTCCTAGCTTAAAGCGTTTGGGAGAAATAATCAAAAAACCTCAGGGGGGGGGGGGGGGGGCTCCTGAGGCCCCCCCCCCCCCGCCAGGAATAGGGTTAAGGTAGGTATACCCAGATAGAAGGTACAGCTATGGTGATGCATAATAGAAACTAAAAATCGAGCTATTAACATCACTTCATAGCCGATTATGCACAATGTTCCAAGTTTTAGCTAAGGTCGGGGAGCAGGCACTTATGGCTACTTTTGCCTCATTTTTTATGCTTAATGGTTTTATTATTGTGTTGATACTGTGGCCATGCTTGTTGGTTTTTTATCTTTGGCTGTTTTAACTCGCCTCTGAATGAATTGAGCCGGTCAAATTTGACGTTGGGATATTTAATGGAAATAATAGAAGCAAACGAATGTTTATTGCTCATGCGCATGTGTTTATGTGTTTTTAAGAAAGATACACACAATATCATGCCTTGCAAAAGATCAAATTTGTACCCGTAGATGATTTTAGAACACAGGCGTTACTTGTATCGCTGTTCACAAAGATGAGCGATTTGCATGACTCACGACGGCTTGCCTTCTCACTTGGATTAGGCATGAGGACAAGTTGTTGACTCACTGTGTTCAACTTCAGGTAAGTGCTGACACATGGCAGAGTCACATTTCACACTGCCTGGTTAGCCGAGTATCAGCGGTGTGCTATCCAACACCCCCGTGTCACCCCAGAGCCACTGCTGTGTGTGTGAGAAGAGAGAGAGCCCAGGCGGCCGCGCCGGACGGAAAAGCCCCCGACCTTAGCGGACACAGCAACCGTGCGACCGGACTCGGGCGCCAAAGGCAGGTGATGGCTTAATTCTTCAGAAAACCCGGTGGCTGACCCTGAAATGCAGTGATCTAGCTTTTCTGCGGCGGTCGGCAGTGGCGGGTATATAAGCCATGTGCCGCCGGAGACCGGCATCAGAGCAGCAGCCGATCACCCCACTGAAACACCATGAAAGCCGTACGTGCTCCTGTGTCTACTATAATCGTTTGATAGAGCTCATGACCATGACAAGGCTGTAGTCAGTCCTATAGTTGTTGAAACTGTAACAGACTTATGTGACTTAAACGAAATCGGTGCGCATTGTTGATGCTATATTTAGCCGAAGTTGGGATAAATGTACAAATTGATGACACTGTGACACTTTTGGAGTTACGGTCACCGTGATCCGTCTTATTTTCAGATCGTTCTCCTGTGCTTGGTGGCTCTCGCCGTGGCGGACAAGAGTGCCCGGATTGTCAACTACCAGTCGGGCATTGAGGAGGATGGATCGTACGCCACTGAGTGAGTTAAACGTGCTTATAACTCGCTTGTAGTATTTAGGCGTGTTGACTTAAGTAGCTTAGTAGCTTGTGCGAAATATTTGTTTCAAAAACATGGCGTGTGAGCAAATAGCTTTGATGAATTTCACAATGAATTTGTTACAAATTTGATGGTACTTCATTGCACCAATATTTCGTTGGAAAGTTCATATACCCGTCGCGTCAATCGCTACGTGACTATAAGCAGCTGCTTCACCAGCCAGTTGTATGTATATGTGTCTAATTTCGATTTGAATTAAATTGGAACGGTTTCATAATGGTTCGAGCCTCGGGAAGCTATTTGCCGACTCAGGAAACAACGAACTTTATGTCGTGGCTAAGGAGTCCTCAGTTGCAGAAGTAAACTATCCATCAAACGCAGAAAATTAGTTGAACATTTGCCCATTTTGGGCGTAAGAGATAATTGTTCCAATAAATCTGTCCCGGCCAACAAAACTGGGCGACCACCATGGATCCATGCACATCACAAAAAAGCAATCACAATCCTCGCTTCTTTTCATTATCCTACCGATGACGGTCAGGCCTTTGTCATGTTCCCTTCTCTGCATGTCCCGTTTCTGTGCAGGTAATATGCCTCGCACATGACTGCTTTATTAGGTCTCAATGAAGTTAATGTCGAACCATTTGTAACAAAATGAAAGCATGTTGATGTATTTAAGCTTACAACAGCTGCTTCAGTTGTATCACAGGTTCCTTCACCAATTGATGCCAACCGTTCCATCCTTACAGGTTTGAGACGACGAACGGTATCAAGGCCAAGGGAGACGGCATCTCTTACCCCGGCAACGCACCCAACACCGGAAACTACGTGATGACCGGCTCGTACTCTTATACTTGGGAGGGCGTCACATACACTGTGAACTGGACGGCCGACGAGAACGGCTTCCATCCGGTCGGAGACCACCTGCCCGACTTCAGTCACACCCGGGAACACATCGGCTTCGTCGATGATCATCTGTAATCACGGAGAGATGTTCCGTGATTCTGCTCTGACCAAAAATCTATGATTGATCTACATTAGTGTTCCTTATTTATCCATGCGTAAATAAAATATACGTGAGCAATGATGTTTTATCCTGGTGATAGGCTCAGTTTTGGCTTTTGAGAGCGCCACGAGTGCCAGGTCTGTGCCGAGCTAGCTCAGCTTTGAACCCTTTGAAGCATCATGCATATTTAAAATCAGTAGTTTTGTTTTCGGGCAGGCATTGTATTTTCATGATGATGTTTGTTCCTTTGGTTTCTACCAATTGGACCACAATTTTTTTTTTGTATATGAACTAGTTTTTTTTGTTTTAATTGTCAAGCTCATAAACATTATTTATCTTTCTTTCTGAAGCCTCGATTGAATTCTCCTGCGAAGCTGTAGTACGTCTGCCTACCATGAGGAGCGTTTCAATTCAGCATCGCTAGATGTAGGAAGCTCTCGTGCGTCATATACTCCTTGCGAGAGGTGACGGACGGTGTCCCCAGGACAACTACCCTTGCCGGATTGCCGCTGGCACACTGCGGTTACAGCTCTGTTTGAAATTGGACATATACACCTGAACTGTCCAGTCCTGTTCCTGCGCTGTTGACGGATGTCAAACAGCTCAGAGATTCTGTCCGCCAATCTCCTCCCACGAGACACGCGTCTGCGCGCCGGCCAGAGGTCAAGGTCAAGGTGTTTGACCCCGCGTGCAATGTCTGACAGATAATCCCATAATAAACGCCCTGGGTGCAGGACATCGGACGCATCTTTGACACACGACCCCTGCCTTGACCTCATTCCGACTGCGTTGTCTGCCAATTTCTGATAACTGCCGCCCAAGTGCGAATTAGAAAAGGCACTTAGGTGTTGGCGGGGCACGCTGTTATGGACCCTGTGGCCCAGCCCTAGGTAGCAGCGACCGTACATTAGTTTGGAAATGGGCGGGTTGACAGTCATGACTGTCTGCAACGGAGTGTCCTCTAACAGAAAGTGTCCAAGGCACATGCAACACATTACACAACTGCGGGGCTGGATGGGAAGCATTACTTGGCTCCGTGAAATCATTTAAAAGATCAGCAAAGCAATGTTTTGATCTATTCGATTAATATTTATTTGAATTGAAGGCTGCCTTAAAGTCAGGGAAAAGCTGCTACTATTTAAATATATAAGCTATTTTATATAAATGCATGTCAAAATTAGTGGTAATAGGGTCCCGTAAATTCAAGTTTGGCTGAGGAAAATATATTTTGATCACTTTATGACGGTAACAGTTTTTTATGGCATATTATGAAGTGCATGAAGTTCACATGTAGGACAAAGGACACACATTACGTTGACGAGGACCTTCACATATAACACGAGGGAAACAAGTGATGCACAAGGGACGACGACAAAACATTGACACTAAGTACAGATCAAACAAACACTCATGAAAAATAATGAAACTGAAAACAAATGTTAACATCATCAACACTGAAAAATTGTCGAGTTGCTTAAAATCCGGGCGAAATAAACACTGTCAAATATAGTATGCAGAAGGATCGGGGAGTGGGATGCAGGTCGGTGTCTTCTCTTGTAAGCATCGGAATCTAATATCATGCGGAGTCGTTCTGGCCCCGATTGGTGTTGTTCTGTTTTACTGGAATTCGTCAATACCACCGATGTGTTCACGCGTAAAACTGAAGTCGGGCAGATGATCTCCAACAGGATGGAAGCCGTTCTCGTCAGCCGTCCAGGTGACCGTGTAGGTGACGCCCTCCCATTCGTACGAGTACGAGCCGCTCCTCACGTAGTTGCCAGACTCGGGGACGTTGCCGGGGTAGGAGATGCCGTCCTCCTGGGCCTTGATGCCGTTGGTTGTCTCGTACCTGGAGAAGGTAAGATAGGATAACGTAAAAGAAAACAAGAAAAAATGACTAAAACACAAAAATAATCTGCTAGCTGCAAGATAAATGCTGATGGATTTCCCATGGTAGGTAAGCGTCAATATTCGGCCTGCAAATGATTTCTATGAATTTCAAGCAAAATTCTGCAAGCAACACAGTATCACATATGTATTAATGAAATGGTTTCCAAAATTGTTCTCAACTCATGCTAGTTAGGCCGGACAGAATCAGGCATTTATTTGCTTTAAAATAAAAGCCTCGGTGCGCCACTTACTCGGTTTTGTATGATCCATCCTCTTCAATGTTGGATTGGTAGTTCACTATTTTAGCCTCTTTGTCAGCCACGACCAGAACCACGGCACAGAAAAGCAGAACCTGAGAACACCGGGCAACGCTGAGTTGGCGGCGAATGGCACGGGCATGCTCTTTTAGAAATAAATAGGTCTATGTAGAACAAAATTTTAATATTACACTTCACTTCCAACCTCCAATTTTACGGTTCTACGCATCACTATCGCACAGACAGCACACCACAAGCACAGATGGAGCGGAGTCGGACTCACGATCTTCATGTTGGAGCACTGGTCGGCTTTGGGGTGATCGGGTGTTGCACTGATGCTGGAGTGTGGTGTCGGAGAGCTTTTATACAGCATCCCCCGCCTCCGATGAGAGGCTAGATCAGAGAGGCCAAGGGCCGTCTGCCAATATTGCGATGTAATTAGGCTGCCTCCTGCCTATCTAAGTGGTCACTTACCCAATGGGGATGTGTCTGAGTAGGCAACACTCGATATCTGGCTCCAAACAACTAGCCAAGCGGGGGAGGAAGCTAATGGGGCCACGTCCTTGCCAGGTGAGACCCGCGGACACATTTCTGATCCGGGATTAACCACTGCAGTTACATGCATATACCGATCTATCAGGAAAGGAGGGACGAAGAGCGTGATGAACATATTTTTTTTATATATTTAACGTAGACCATGGCCAAAAGAACTTTGCTTGAATTATTTTACATATGTGAGTTATCGATAAGATAAACGATGGTCAATCAACAAAACGTTATCCTTCATTTTTCCTGTCTTACTCGTTATGTGCTCACTCTCCAGGATTCAGTGCTACAGTTGAAATTTGGACGGGTTTTAAAATGTACTGCTGTCGCACTTCCTCAGGCTCTGTATCGTGAACTTCTTTTATTTGTTTTTTTTTTGTTTTGTTTTGATGTTTGTTTTTGTGACTATGTGAATACTTTAGTGCCAGCTCGATATTTTACGTAACTTTCCGATCAACAACAGTTCAATCCAGAATATCATTCGTTGCCTGTCAACACCCCCATGTCCTTCAATCCCTCGCCCCTGACGGCCACGACTCGAGCCGTCTGCCCGGTCGAGAGCCTGCCTCAGATCATGCAGTCATGGATTGCGGAGCTAATCCGATGTCGGTGTGATTTCCGGAGAGCGGAGTACCGTGTTTCCTCTCTGTGGGCTGCTCTGCTGACCCTGAATTCCTGCGCTGATCTGGTTTGGTCACCTGGGCAGGGAGTGGACTATATAAGCGCGCCTGGCCCGGTCTGTGACATCAGTGTTCCGGCACCTCTGATCACGGCACCACCATGAGGACCGTGAGTGCTCCAGCTGTGCTCGTGTGCGGTGATTCGGCTGGTGCTCACAGTGCGCTATGTGTGCTCAGCGCGTGACCCGTGCTCCGCCCGTGCTGCGCCTGTGATCTGACGGAGAAACCGGGCTTATCGGACTGTGATATATACTATTCGGTGCTATATGCGTTGGAAAGGCACCATTGGGCGTGAAGTCAGCCTTTGATGAGTGATGATCGCTGACCATGGTTATTTTTAAAAGATTTAAAGAGCAAAGAGAAGTGCTAAGTGGAAGTGGCTAAACCGCGAATGCTGCTACCCGTGACATGAAGTCATTTGATCAAGTAAAATAACCGTACTCTCATAATTAATATCCAAAATTCGTAATAAAAAGGCCTGATAATTCCGAGGAGCTTTCGGCTTACGCCTTCTTCAACTCGCTTTCAACAGCCACCTCTCAACTACTTGATTATATGTTTAAGCATGTCTCTCAAAACAATGCTAACAACAATTCAGACATGAAGTCATTCATCAATCGAGAAGATGGTGATGCCATCATTCCCATTTCTAGTTACAGCCATCAGCGCTCAGTCGTTGTGTTGTATTGTGTTGCTATATGCTTGTGAAGTCCTAAAATTGTATCTTAAGTAAAAACAAAAATTTCGGTACTACATATTCAAGCAACACAAGCAGCGCACCAAAATGGACAACAATAGTAGCGGGATCAAACAGAATGTGGGTCAAAATTGTGGGTTTAGCCTTCTCGCACGCAGCAAAATGGCTAAAGATAACTTTAGTCTTAACTTTAGCCGTTACTTGCGCTGAAGAGAAGTGTTCGAGCACCTTTGAAGAAGTCTCCTTACGTTATAGTTTTCATATAAAACTTTAAAAAAAATGTTGGACTGACTTATACACGGTAACATTGCCCTGTGGTGTTTGACAAAAACTCTTCCTCTCAGGTTCTGCTGATTTGCTTCATTTCTCTGGCCTTTGCCGATGAATATGCCAGAATCGTGAACTACCAATCCAGAATTGATGAAGACGGGGCATACAAATCCACGTAAGTTCGCTCTAATAACGTCAATAATTCTTAACATTTAGTCCAAATAACTGTCTCCTGTGAGCAATTTTTTCACGTTTCTAGCTATTACGTGCTTGTGACATAAAGAAGTGGTGATGGATTATTTTTCCTATTGAAAATCGCATTTGTGTGACATCAGCGTTTTGCAAGGTTATTTAGAATCGTGGTATGTGAATGTTGTAAAGCTATTGGAATCACACTGATTGTGTTACAATTATTGTGTAATATAAAATAACATTTCTTGGTACTTGTGTACCAAGAAGCCATAGTGCCATAGTGGAGATCTATTCAAGAACACCTTACGGACTGATACGTTCTGTTTTTCCATGCAATACAGGTTCGAGACGACCAACGGCATCAAAGCAAGCGAGGAAGGCATCTCTTACCCCGGCAACGTCCCCAACACCGGCAACTACGTAAGGAGCGGCTCTTACTCGTACGAATGGGAGGGCGTCACCTACACGGTGAACTGGACTGCCGACGAGAACGGCTTCCACCCTGTTGGGGACCACCTGCCCGACTTCAGCCACACCAGACAACATATCGGCTATGTATCCGACTATGAATAACGCGTAAACAATTAGACATAAAATGGTGTGGCAGCGGAACGTTTGGTGGAACTTGTCTTCGATATGAGCTTAAGTGACGTTGTGTAGTCATGTGCTGGTGTCCTGTCACGGTCAACTGTGTAAATACTGTGTGTCTTTCAATGTTATTTGTCGCCATCAATGCTGCCAATAGAACTCCGCGTGCCCCAATCTGTTTTTTTTTCCATTGATGATTTATGGCTCTTTGTCCATTCTGAATAAATCATTTAGCTGTCATTATTAGGCACACCATACTTCATAATCGAATAATAGGTCAAACTTCCGAGTGAATCGTGTGTCTTCTATCGTAGATGGAAACATACGCAAGAATTAGTTTGTCAAAAAATATGTAGGAATCCACCTTTGACTAATTGCATTCCCTTCATTCGTATGTTTTAATGAGGTAATGTGGTTCGATATGCAACACTGAGATGTTTTACAAGGCTGTATTTTCTTGCGCCACTCGCTCCGGGGTTACGGTTTCATAGAAAATAGGGGCTGAATGCGCAATGGTTATTGTCCCGTGATGGATTTGGTACGCCTGGAACCTATGCTGTACCGCAAGACACGGCGCCCCGCGAGGAAGAAAAACTGAAAAACTGACACATGGCAGAGCCAGACTCACCTGAAAACTATATATGGGGATCACGATAGAATAGTAGCTGCCAGCTGGTTTCTGTTCCTCTCGTCGCTCGTCGTGTTGAAGTGCTGCGGCAATAAGGCTTTTTCTTGCTTTAACTTATTCTGAATTTTTTTGGGTAGTAGATTGACTGAAAAGTCTAAATTGCAGCATTTCCGTGTTTCTCCTGATGATATAATCATTTGTGCGATTGACGGAATCATTTTGCGATTTATTTTTCCCATCCCATCCTCCAAGCTTTCCTATTGCCATTGAAAGCCTTCTAAAACGAGCTGTAGCTTTCACGTCATTCGATTTTCTAGGGGATTCTCACCACTGTTTCCAAGCATCCTACGTTATCGTCAAGCGTGCGTTGAATTAACCTCACAAAGAACGTCACAGGGGGAACCAGGAGTAACAAGGCTTAATCCGAAGCGTACATACCATGACCTAACCCGAAATAAATCTGTTTAAGCACTCGGATGCTGCCATTAGTCAGTGTACGGCGGCCACTGTAGATCAGACTTACGGCGGCCTCCCAAGGTAGCGACCTTGCAGAGCCGCTGGCGCAGAGCACTAACAGCTGGGAATTTCTGGCGGCGTTAAGCATCCTTGGTTTGTGTTCGAGTATATCGTATAATACGCAATCCAAGAGCCGAGATAGGTCTAGGTGTTTCATCTAGTTATTAAGAAGTCAGTTCCAAATATATGTGAAATTTATATTGCCAATCTTTTATGTATTTTTTGTCAGTTTTTCTTCGTAACAGGATGAATCATTTTGTTATATCTATGACCACGTTTCCATGGGCATCACTGATCCGGATCAGTAAAAATGAATCAGCTAATCCGGTATAGTTAGACAATATATGAATATGAAAGTAAGAGATTAACTGATTATATATAAGCCTAATCCACTTGGATTTATATCATGTAACGAAGAGTTCGAGAAATATAATACGATTTAAATTTGCTGATCCGGATCAGGGATGTCCATTGAAACGGGGTCTATGTATGCTTCTCTGTTGTGGACTTAAACCCATGCGTATTGCGCACGATATTTTACCCCTATTGGCATGCGTGTGATGAAGTGGAATGACTACAAATAAGAAGTACCATTTTTCAACACCTTGTATAATCTTTATTTCGGCTGTTCTTCTTGCAATATGACACCATGGCAAGTATGGTAGTATCTGATGATCAATTTATTGAGCTTCAAATAAAGTAACATTCGTAAACAGACATTCTATCACACACATGCTCTCGATGCCAACAAGTTCGCACTTCACCATTAAATAATAACTTCCTAGCCTACTCGTAATCCGACACACTCCCGATGTGTTCCCGGGTGTGGCTGAAGTCTGGGAGGTGGTCGCCGACGGGCTGGAAACCATTTTCGTCGGCAATCCAGTGCACAGAGTAGGTGACGCCCTCCCATTCGTACGAGTAGGAGCCGCTCCTCACGTAGTTGCCGGTTTCCGGTAAGTTGCCGGGGTAGGAGATGCCTTCCTCGCTTGCTTTGATGCCGTTCGTCGTCTCGAATCTGCACAGAAATATCAGTTGACGGTAGTGTGTTGATAGTATTATGCATTAGGTCGTTTGGTGTTTATGTTAGGTCATGTAATCTTGCATAATATCGTTCTTATTGACTTATGATTGATACAATTTCTGTATTATTTTATTTTTATCATGTATACTCTTATTTTAGCTATTGTGCACTCTAATCACCTTAGTTTCTGACTTCTGTATGCTTTTATTGATACTACTGATGGATTGCTGGTAAAGTAAGAACTTGCACGTGATGGAAGCTGTCCCTTGCAGTCACGTTTGTCGTCACTTACTCTGATTTGTAGGATCCGTCCTCTTCGATTCCAGCCTGGTAGTTGGCAATTCTAGCATCGCGGTCGGCGAAGGCCGATGCGATCAAGCAAACGAGAAGCATCTGAAAAAAGTTTCGGGCTGATATTAAACCAAGCTCCGTGACGTCGGTGTGTCCTTCATCATCATAGGTTTAAGATGCAGGTGCTTACACAAATATGGTAGTTAACGTTTTAGATTAACTAACGATATAGATTATCTTTTTTACCAGTATACTCTTTAAAAAATAGAAATAAACTATACGTTGGAACAAAATTGCCGTTCATTCTCAACACCAGATCACTAAGGTTGCTGTTATCGCACTTTGGACCCGCTGGTCAAACTGCACTTTATCATCACTGCACTGGGTCGCTCTGTGGTTCACTCACGGTCTTCATGGCTGCCTTTGATGAGCTGTGTGAGCGAACTGATGTAGAGGAACAGGAGCTACCTGGTTATATAGTGGCAGCTGCTGCTCGTGCACTCCCGAACCAGATCACTGGCCGGCGCTCAGGGTCAGCTGACCTGCTCGTGCGCGGCCGCCGCCCCCCGCGCAGTGCCGAGTCCGGAAATTTCACCACCCCCTCCCGCGCCCCGGTCATTGTTCGTAGGTGGAAACGGAAACCAGAAAACACATAGACCAAATAGCTTGGAGGCTTCATTGACTGTCGCACAAGGAAGCGGAACGTCATTCCATGCCTTGCTTGTGTAGGAAATACACTGAAGTAGCAGCCGCGCCCATTCAGGTGAAGTGCCATGTTCGACACCCGGGACTGATGTTACATACTTGCTTTTTCATATGGTGAAGTAGTAAGGATAGGAAAAAGGTGCATACAGGGTGATCAGTACTTAGGCGACCATACTTTTTCGTCTGCTACAGAGAAAAAAAGTGGTCGACCTGGCCCTATGAGTGGCAAGGTGGCGGCGTAATTCACTATTGAAATGGATAGTTTAGATCTTTTTCGTTATGCAGGATTGACGCATCGAATAACCTATCTATGAAAGCACTTTGGAAGAACGATTAAGGATTATGACTCTACTGGAAAAGGAAATGATGCGTCAAGTCAATCCGTCTTGTTGTCATATACACATTTAAGTTGTTTTCGTCGCTCTTGCATGCGTCCTTTCCTGTCAAAAGCTGGTGTCGAAAAACTATTAATTATCTTGTAACCCTCCCCGGACCTATTGGTTTTCTACATACGCGCCGGCCGAGGGGGGGGGGGGCGGGTACGACCCCCTCGCCGTTCGCCCCTGGTGGAGCTAGCGCGTCGGGAAAAAAACGAGCATATGTGCCGTTACGAGGCGCAGATATTGATACCCGATTTAAAGGTCCTAGGTCAACGGGTGACCTCTGAGGTCAGGTCAAGTGTCCCAAGGTACGGTTCCGTTTTTGGTGAAGACCTTCGCAAAACACGGCCGCAGAGCCGCGATTTTGGCAGCATCGTGTTCGTCTTGCTCAGGCGCGTCGAATGATATACTTTTTGTTTGGGTAAGGTCAACTTAGGGTGTTGACCTCGGGTCACGGTCAGGTCAGCGCCCCCAGGTCACGAAATTGGTCGAAGGAGGTCATGTCGCACATCATTCGATTCGGTAGGTCTTCCTGAGTCGGCCATTGGTGGCTTTTCCGACTCGCTAGCTCAATTTGATCGGGAATTATTGGCGAACAACTACTATGACCCTAATGACGTCATAAATGACGTCACACAAGGTCAACATTGCAAAAGTGACGCATCAAACCTTGCAAGGAGTGCATAAAATCACGAATCTGTGTGCTTGAGATAGTTGGAAATCGTTCTCAGCGCCAGAATAGCAGTCCTCATTTTCCCCCATTGACTTATAATGGTGAGGTCACGAAAATGACCTAACCTCATATGACATTTTTGGACAAATCCAAGATATACAAGTTGTGAAGCTACTAATGAATACTAGGTCCCGCAAGTTTCATTTCCCTGTGAAAGCTCCTCTGGCAGTGAGGGCGTTGCGAAGTTGCAACATCTAAAGACCGTGCAGAGGTTCACTTATGACGTCATAGGTCAGTGACCTGACCTGACCCGAAAATGCGGTTGGTGTCAAAAGATCCGGCTTGAAGCAAAACTCAGGTATGCTAAGTTTCAGCTCTCTATTGCCGGCGTGTTCGGAACTATCGCTTAACCCTCGGCCGGCGAGGGTTAAGTAAGGATCTAAAATGACATCAAAGTTGTGATGCTGACCGCTGGGCAGGGTAACCGGCAAAATATGTTTGTTCAGTATTCAACAAATTAAGATATTTTATAAATAGACGCGTAATTAAAATGATTTAGAAAATAAGATTGACCCGAAAGGGGCACTTTTTCATTTGTCATTGATTCATAGTAGGAAGGTCGCAAAATGACCTCGCCCTCCTATGTCACGTACATGATTTTTTGATACAAACGTTTCATTTCGTCTCTATCATTTGCTGAAAACGTCCACGTAATTGATATGTCAGTGTAGCCACTAGCCAGTGCAGAGCGTATTTGATAAATGCATACGTAGGATTATCACAATGTGACATTAAAATGCGCTTTATCCATTTTCGTGCTTCTCGATTTTATTCAAAGCTATGTATCTTCAGTGCCCAGTGAGGTATACATATGTATGTAATATCAAGCAGCCGTATACTAATTTACGAGTTTTCCTGTTGTCCTAGGCTCTTCTGTTACAACACTTCC